GCCCTGCGGCTGGGGGCCCGGCGGCTGGACGCAGACACGGGCGCGAGTCCGGGAGAGCCAGCAGCTTTATTGGTTCGGCTCAGCGGCCGTTACAGGGCCCGCGCAGCTGCCTCATCACGTCGGCCAGCATGCGGTTGCACAGCGCGGCGTAGGGGTTGAGCAGCACCAGCTGGCGCCGCGCGAACGAGCTGCCCAGCCGCGCCGCCCGCTCGAAGTCCCCGCGGGCGTCGTCGTTCCGGCCCTGCAGCCGCGCCAGGAGCCCGCGCTGCACGAAGCCCTGAAAAACGAAACGGACCCGAACGCAGCTCAGAGTCACGGCGCGCTCCAGGTCCTCCAGGGCGCCTGCGGGAAGGGCGAGCGGGCGGGTCAGGACCGCGGCCCCGGGGCCCGGCCACCCACAGCCCGCCTGCCCTTGCTCCTCAGCTGGGCACCGTTCCTCCCATCACCCCGAGGCCGACTGGCGAAGCTGGCAAGACCTGCGCTGGGCTGCACAGCCCGTCTATAGTGGCAGAGCTGGGAGTCCCTATTAGCTTTCAGTATCCAGGACACCAGAACACCACGCGTGCTGGGGCGATTTTGAATGGTCACTATGTTCATGAATCCGGCCCGTTGTCCAGCAGTGGTAGAGGGCTCAAGTTCCACTCGGACGCTATTAAGCATCTACCCTGTGCCGGGGGACTGACTCTGAATCTCAGAGTCTAAACAAATTATAATGTACTGATAACCATTTCTTACAAATAAAATTCATTTCTCTTTCTTTTCCTTTTGCAGGCGTTTCTCTCCTCTCATTCAGGGTATGATTTAAACCTGTTCTCCCTCTGACTGCCTTTCCTCATTCTTCATCTCCATGATCTTCTTTATATTGTATACAAATGCAATATTTTGTGTTTCATTAAAGGAGATCTTGGAGCCAGAGCTGGCCCCGGACATGGACATTGTTATGTTTATCATTCTCAAAATACTTGGATTGGGCATTAGAACTCTGAGCTCAACCTCAGGCAGCTGGTATGTACCTTAGAGCCCAGCTGCAATTCTTCTGGGCTCTGCCTCGGTTCACTCCTGCTCTCTAGTCCGAAGAGCTGTCAGGGTCTGGAGGAGCTCCAGCATCATCCTACAGAGAGGCCCATCTCTGTCCTGTCTCTGTGTGTTTTGAGCCCAGAACCCAGCAGGGGCTGTGCTCCCCAGGCCACCCAGATGGTTAAGAAGCTCTCTGATCACAGCGGTTCTGGCTTTCCCTCCCAGGAGCTGGTCTGCAGGAATTGAAAACCTTTTCCAGGCAGCATCAGTCACCTCTGTTCCTCTCTGGGGTTTTGGTCTGCAGACTGTCCTTGCCTGCTTTTACAGCCTGGCCCAGCCCTGCCCTGCATTGCCATGCCACAGCCAGGTAACAAAGCCTGGAAAAGGGGCCCGTGGTTCCCCACTGTTCCCAGAGTGGAGTCCAAAGGCCCCAGACTGGCGTTCCTTCACATCCGTCTGCCCTCTGGTCCCCAGCATGGCCTTCTCCGTCCCATTGTCCCCATTCCAGAGTAACCCAAGTGCAGCAGGTTTGATGCAGTCACTCCCCAGTTAAAATCCTTTAACGATTCACCGTGTTTTCGAGACACAGTGCAACCTCTGCCTAACATTCCCGGTTCTTCACCATCAGGTCCCTATTTACTTCTCCAGGCTCTACTCTACCCTTTCACTCCTCCCCGATCCAGCCAGCATGGAGATCTGACGTTCCCTGTACCTTTTCATGCCTCTGGGTCTCTACAGGCTCCCACTCTGTCCCCTCCATCCAGCTACCTCCTACTCATCCTTTGAAACTCACCCCTCGGGGCACTTGGGTGTCTCAGGCCTCTGCCCTTGGCTCAGGTCGTGATCCTGGGGTGGAGCCCCACATGGGGCTCCCTGCTCAGCAGGGAGTCTGCTTCTCCCTCTCCCTTTGCCCCTCCCCCCACTCTCTCTCTCAAATAAATAAATAAAATCTTTTTAAAAAATTAGAAAAGAAAACTCACCCCTCAGGGGCAGATACCACACTGAACCCTCTCAGCTTGTTACACACATAATCACAATTATGTGTCTGTCCTACCCTCTGGACTGTGAGCGTTCAGGGGCGTTCGGAGCACAAACTCAAGCCCTGCCACCTGGTTCAAATCCCAGCTCTGCTCCAGGTTCTTCGTCTGTAAAATGGAGGTTACGATAGCACAAACCTTTTGGGGTGGTAGTGAGGATTAAATGGGTTACTATAGCTCACGTGGAAAGTGCTGGATGCCTGGCACGTAGTAATTGCTGTAAGTAGTCTGTCTTGCATCTCTGTCCTCAGCGCCCAGCCCACTGCTACAATAGTAGACTCTCATTAAATGTTTGTTAAATAAACGAGTGGAATGCAATCTCTTCTGATTTTCACAATCGCCCCAGGAGATTACAGGGCCCGTAAGGTATCTCTTATAAGTAAGAACATGGGTTCCAGAACAGTTTAGTGACTCCCCAGCCCCACAAGCACTTCATCTCTGGTCTGTGGACTCCAGGGCCCCCCTGCAGAAGCTCCGGGCCGTCTCCCCTCACCTGCCACATCTCCTTGGAGTCGGCGGGCCTGGGCCCGGTTATTGTAGGCAGAGGCCCTCTCAGGCAGCAGGTTGATGGCTTGGCCAAACCTCTCCAGGGCTGTGCTGAGGTCACCAGCCTCTGCGGCCATCACCCCCTGCAGCTCCAGGACCTTGGACTGCTCCAACTGTGCTCCCGGGAAAACTCCATCTGTGTTGGGGAGGGAGCCAGGAGGGGACAGGTACGCAGTTGGGAGCAAGAAGCAAAAGCTCCCTTGGCTTTAGAAAGCTGGGGCCTGAGCGGGAGCAGACTGGGCTGGGATGTGGGTCACAGCAGAAGTCGGATGCAGTGCCGTGGGCAGAGGGAGCTGAGGTCACCAAGGCTGAGAGCTAGCACTGTCTAAGTTCCAAAGGGACCTGGGAAAGGGACTTTGGTCGGCTCATTGCCAAGAGAATGAAGCCCAAACTCAGCCCATAGCTAAATGCCTTACTCAAGGTCACACAGCTCCTAAATGCACAGCTTGGATTTGAACCCAGGTCTTCCAGGCTCCTTAGCCTGTCCCCATTTTGTTCTACTAGTCTGCCTCCAACATGAAGACCACCAAGACATACTTGGGTCATGAAAACCATGTCAGCTTTTCAGACTGAAGTTTCCATAAGACCTAGGCTTCACTCCTTTAGAAACAAAGGTCATCAAAAACTCCTGATGGGGGTGGGGGTGGCGGCTGGCTGGCTCAGTCAGTAGAGCATGCAACTCTTGACCTCAGGGTCATGAGTTCAAGCCCCATGTTGGGCATAGAGCCTACTTAATTAAAACAAGAAACTCCGGATGGAGATATAAGGCCCCATTAGAGACTGAAGGAAGGGCCAGGGAGTGCATTCACTCTGTGGAGGGATTAGCTCGGGGCTGGGCTTGTAAAGGTGTGTAACACTGAGAGCTTGCTTAGGTTCTTCATGCTAAGATCGGAACAATTCAACTGAGCCACCCCTGCGCTTCCATTCCGTGTGGAGTGAAACGTCCTGTCATGACTAAGATGTGTGTTGAGCATCACCCCACCACCCTTTCCCCCAGCACAGTTGAGCTTGGATTATGGGGTGGGTTAAGTGGTGAGGTTAAGTTCAGAGGTATGATGGCTGAAGGACAGACAAACCGTGACTTGCTCCTTTTGGCAGAGTAACTCCACCAGTGCATTAAGGATCAGCCAACCTCTCGCATTCCGACCTCAATCATTGTCCATGGGTCATGGAACAAGGGGCCTTGTGAGACCACCGTCCTCTGCCACCCGGCTGAGGCCAACCGGTGTGGAGCGCTATAGTCGAAGGTCAAACTCACCTTCATCAACGTCTTCCTTCTCCACTTCCTCTCCCATGTCCAACCCAACAAGGTCTCCAAATGGGTGGTCAGGGTTGAAGATGGCCTGCAACACTGCCTGGTCATTTGGAGTCCCCATGGTGCTCAACTCCCAAGTCCCAGAAGGTGACTCAGGACACAGGAGGGAGGAAGAAGGGGTGGGGGCTGAGCCTCGCGGCCAGTTGATCTAGAGGGCAGAGGTTCTGTTTGAGGTCCATCCCCCATGAGGAGTGTCTTCCGTTCCTTGGCTGTAGTGTAAACTCAACCTCATTTGGCCTGGGGTTAGCAACCCTGGCTTGGCAGAATATTTACAACAGTTCTTTTTTTTTTTTAGATAAATGCATTTTTTTTTTTAAAGATTTTTATTTGTCAGAGAGAGCACAAGCAGGGGGAGCAGCAGAGGGAGAGGGAGAAGCAGGCTCCCCACCGAGCAAGGAGCCCAATGCGGAACTCGATTCCAGGACCCCGGGATCACGACCTGAGCCGAAGGCAGATGCTTAACGACTGAGCCACCCAGGCGTCCCTACAATAGTTCTCAACTGCCTTTCCACCCCCACCCATCTTAGGGGGAAGAGAGTAAATGAATCCAATTTCTGCCTTAGGGTGGAGTGAAGCAAAGAAGAGTGCTGTTCAGGTTCTCCCCGAAATGCTTTCATTTTAATATATTCCTAGACTGGGAGGAAATCGGCCGAAGGCCTCTTGATCGCCCATGGATAATAAAAGGGGGGCCACGTGGGAGGTAAAGCTCTTTGTCTTCCTGACCCCTTCCTCATATCCGGGATTAATTAGGTCCTGAACACAAACCACTGATGAGCATGGGAGGAAGACACAGTTCGGAGAGTCAGTGTGGACTGGGGCCCGGAGGGAGGCGAAGCGGAGTGATTTAATGATTCCACCTTCAAAGAGAGGGCCGTGGCTGGTACTCTGCAATCAGGCCACCAGCCACTCGCGGCTGCTCCCCCCAACGCCCGCCGGCTCTTTTCTCCCCCCCCCACCCAAAGCCAAAAGAAAGTTTGATCGTGTGCAGCAATAAACTTGACATGTTTATTAATTAAACTATCACTTAAATAAAAAAAAGTGCATAGAAAATAAACATGTTTAAAAACTCCTTTTTTTTTTACAACTATGTACACTTTTTACTTTTACATTCAGTCTTTCGTAGAGAGCTTTCAGCATTATTATTTTTTGAACTATTAAAGTATTTTCCTTCGTCCCTGTCACAGGGAGTTAACACTGATGGACTTTAGACACATTTTTTCCTTTTTTTTTTTTTTTCTCTTTTTCTCTAACCAGAAGCTTGGAAGAACACAAGGAAAAAAACCAAAAGATCTGTTATACATGATAAAGTTGTCAAGAAATGTCTTATTTCTAGAAAAGAAGCTTGTCATCTGTTGAGCTTTTGAAACAATTATTCAACTACCTGTATTTACTAAAGAGACTGTTAAAAGTTCAATAAAAGAAACACCACAAGTCTATTTTCTTGGTTGAAAGACAGAACTAGAGTACCTCGGAACAAGATACCAGGAAAGCACAGAACACAATTTTCCCCTAAATGCAGGTGGTAACCCCAACATTCATAACCGAAAATAGAGAAACAAGGAGTACAGGTACTGACTGGCAACATTCATGGGCAGAAAAAATCTGGGTGACACCATTTCCGCGTTCCTCTCTGACCCTGGGAACGGACCGCGTCACCGTCCCTTTGTGGTTTGGGTCCCCCCCCCCCAACTTCGGAGGATCCGAGGAGCGCCAGACTGACGTTTTCCTGCCACGACTAGCAACTGTAACACAATCCTTATCTATAGTGTTAAGAGAATTAAAAGCCATGGACTGAACTAGGCTTTGTTACATGGTGCATTACTATATTAGTTCCTATATATATCATATTTATATTTATTTGAAAACCAAAACAAAAAAGTTGCAAGTTTTCAGAGTGTGAGACTTGACTGGTATTCATGATTCGGCACAAAACCATCTGCTCAATAACCTTGTATTGCTTTAAAATGAAGGAAATGAAACATAAAATTACACCCAGCCCTTTGCAATGACCCGCTTTTCCTTTAAAAAGAAAAAAAAAAAAAAACCCAAAACAAAAAAACCAAAAACCCAAACCCAAACTTGATTTCTAGTTAAAAAAAATCCCAAATCAAACTTAAAAGTTAACATGTGATAAGGTTTTGACCTTTAGTATTTTCAGATATTTGATTGAACGTCAGTCCTTTAGAAAGATACATTCATTAAAAGATTTTTTTTTTGTTTTTTTTTTCCTTAATGTTGTTGTTGTATATTTTCAATCACGGGAGCTGCATGGTGCTCACTGCATTGACCGGGGGGTGCTGACAGAGGCAAGCGGGGTGGCGGACTGTATCCCGGCAAAGGAGTCTCGTTGAAAACTTCTATGGATTATAGCTGCCAGGGCTTCCCCCTTAATTCTGGTGATTGGTCTAAAAACCGGAGGGGCTATGCTGGAGGTGGTGGACGGTGACAGAGGGAGCCAAGGGACCAAGTTCCGGCCGTAGGGTCAGCGCCATGCAGCATTCTGGCTACACAGACATCACTGGCCACCAGGAAATGCGGCCACAACAGATTCTAGCAGCAAAGCTCTCCGGGAGCTGGCTCGCTCCCGGAAAACTGATCAGGCTTGCAGCTGGGACTCCTTAGGGATTCGGGGTGCCCCTTGGGGGATTCCTGGGAATGACCCACCACAGTTCCTCGGTCTGCACTTTTGTGCGGAGATTCCCTTGGTCACTTTCAAAACAAACTCAGGTGTTTTGGAGACAGATATGCCGGTTTGTTTTGTTTGTTTTTTTGCCTTTTTTCCCTCTTGTAGGGAAACCTTAGCTTATTCCCCAAGTTGCTGGCAGGTATGCTGAATTTTGGCAATGGACTCAAGGCTGAGCTAGAAGAGGAATTACTCATTTCTGTGGTTGACAGTTGGGGAGTGAAAAGGCAAGGCAAACCATCTGCAGCTGGCAAGAGAAGGAGAGAAGTGGGTCCCTCCCCTGGCCTCAGGGTTCGGGATTGGTAGAAAGAGAATGAGGAGGGGGCTCACAGTACAGCATGGCCTAGCAGGGCATTAACTAGGTCTATTTAGCTGAGTTTCCCCCACCCCCTGACTGGCCTTTGGGTCTTTCTCAAGGTGAATTTGTGACCCATCAGTGCATTAATCATTTCAGTAACAAATGCAGCTTAAGGTTTTTTTCTTAAAAAAAAAAAAAAAAGGAATAAAAGGATTTACAAAAAAACCTCACACAGTGCAATAATCAAGGAAACCAGACACTAGTGGAACCCCTAGGGCCACTGTATCTTGTTCACGGGCAAAGGAGGAAGGGAGGCGAGGTCTGGGTAGAGTGTTTTTCCCCAGTCCCCTGCTGGCACTTCTCCATGATGACAAGGAAGTCTCTGCCATCCTGGCCACAGTGCTGGGCTCCCTGCATGACAGCAAAAACAGTGACAATGTTCCAGCAAAGCCACCAGACACAGTTCTTAAGGTCACGGAAGAATAGGAAGCCCAGGGTGGAAGGCACAGCAGAGCCATGAGTCCTGGGGCAGAGAGCGCAGGGCTGAGTCGTATTGCTTTGCTAGACTTCCAGAGGAATGGGCTTCTTGTGGGAGAAAAGGGCGCCCTGCCCTCTACTGGACTGCACTGCTCTGAAACCCAGTGGCCGACAGAGGCAGAGAAGAATCTGCGTTATCGTGAGTGGTCAGACTGTGCTTCAGTTTCAACGGGCTGCCCCACAAGAGGGCACGGGGGGGGGGGAATCCATGGGTTCTTTGCAGGTATAAGGACTTGGTGGGCAGAGGGGAAGGGGACGAGGTGACCGATGAGGCAGATGGTGAGGAAAATGTCAGGTTGCCATTCAACTTGGTTGCTATCTCGGAAGTAGGGCAAGAGGAAGGAAATGGAGATTCCAGCTCTCGCCACTCCGAGCTAGTCCAGAAGGGAGAGAGAGTGTGGGGAAGGAGAGGGGACACTGCTGTGTCAGGATATACTACTACTGCCTTTTGAGGAGCTTCGACACGGGAAGGAGGGGAGCGGCCCAACGGAGTAGGGTGACCTTCCTTGTCCATTTATTGTCAAAGAGCAAACCCAGGACACGTTTATGTCAACAGGGCACAAACAAGCTACACATTAAACAACAAAAGTACACCTTCCAGGGGGAAGTTGGGCAGGAAAAACCAGACTTTGTGTGTACAGCTGAATATTTTTCTCTAACTTCATCCTATGAAAATAAAAAATTATTAAAAACCGATCTTCTTTTAAATTAGGATAATACCGCGGTTTAAAAAATAGCCTTGTCATAAGTGCTTCTCCCTATGAAGTGCTTCTCATAGAAAAATATACAAAATATATTTACATTTATAAAACCTTAAATAGTAAACTGTAAACAGAACAGAGTAAAATCCAATGACTTAATTTAACAGGTTCAGGACACCGTCTTGGGGAAAGGAGGAGAAGGAACATTTGATGCTGTTTTGACCACATCCTAAGGAGTAATCAGGGCAGTAGTGTCATTTAATTTACTTAGCCTGTGGATTTTGCGCAGGTGGCAGAGGTCCCTCGATACAAGGTGGTCTAGTCCCCAAGTTTTGGGCCTTGAAATCTGATTAGTGTTCTGCCTTCAACTGGACACCGACCATTTAAAAATGAAGTCTTCCTATGTCTTAACAAGGGGAAAATAAAGTTACCATGTCCTAGGAATGGGGCCCGGGGGTCATCCTGGTTGTAATACTCTGGTTGTTGCATGATTCAGATCCTATTTAAATAATCGTTTTCCTCTTCTAAAAAATCATGCTACATAGATTTCTTTAAAACTCTCCGTGGAGCTTTACGAAAACTCCAAATTCCGTCTGGTTATGACCAATGGCTCCTGTCCACTTCCCCACTGGGCGTGCTTCCAGGCTCAGGGGTTGTGTTGTAGGCGTACACGATGCCTGGCAGGGAGTGTCCTTGAGCAGGGAGTCACTCCCCTCTACCACCCAGAAGAACGGGAAAGCAGTGGGATGAAACAGGGGGGAACGAAGAAGGTGGAGGGAGGCGGAGGAAGAATGAGAGGGACACTGCTCCTATTGTCGAGAAAGGAAATCGGCTGAGATAAGGCTCCTGGGGGTAACACTCCCACTTAAAGCCCACAGGCTCCACGTTTGGTGATTCATCAGCACAACCCCAAGACAGTCTTTTGACACCAAAGGTGCTAAGAATCCTGTCTCCCAACCAGAAGTGAACTCTCAAGTGGGAGGATAGGAGGGAAAACCACGAGACCTTCTCTGCTTGGTCAACAGACGGCTACAGGCTGGGCCCGGCTGGCAAACTATCAGGTATCCAACCAACTCTCTCTCTCGGGGCCCCCAGCTGACCCCTCCCTTGGAGTGCTTGGGAAAGGGCCAAGGCGAGGATGGCAACTTCTCTCCGAGGACACACTCAGGCCCCATCTCCCAACATAACGAACCCTCCACAGGCTCCTTCCAGGCAAGTCTGCTAGCGACCCCATTGCCCACTCTTTAACGGCGTACAATCAGAGGGGCCCCAGTAGAAAGCGGGCCGCGGATCTTTTCTTCGAGACCTCATCTCTCTCTCCAGGACTAGGATCACATGTCTAATGTGAATATAGGATGTAAGGGAGCCCAGCCATCACGGAGGCCCCTCAACTGTGCCCACTCAATCCTGGAACTCCTAGCTGCTGGCAAAGGCCTTCAGCATTGCTCTGGATGGGCCTGGGTCCTAGTACTCCGACACTGGGGGCGAGGAGCAGCTCTAGTTTAGGAACTTCCGGCATTTCTTGGCACCACAGTTGCAGGGTAGCTTGTTGCTGGCATCCTCGATGGGGAACTTATAGTCGTAGGTGAGCTCCTCCCCACGGTAGATCTTGCGCATAGCAAAGATGACGATGTGCTTCTGCCCGTCGATATTGATGACCCGAGAGTAGCAGTTAGGCTCACACGAGTGATTGATGAAGCGTGCAGCGTTTCCGTGCATGGTGGCATCCACCACCTCCGAGTCATCAATTCGGAACATGTAGCAACCGATGCCCTACACGTGAAGGAGAGAGGGAGACCTTGTCACTTAGCCCAGCTCAGGCTGGAGAACATTTCCCAGCCCTTTTCTGATGTGGCCTACGACTGCTGACGAAAAACGTTTCTTCTAGTAAAATGTCCAGATTTCTCCCATCTTTCAAGATGCTTCCATAGCAAATTCCTACATTATAGCTACTAGACTAGAGGTTTCTTAATGTCTCCACGGGAAAGAGAAGCCTAAGACATCGTGTCATTAGGTGCTTTTGATCCTGGGATCCACTCAGACAAACCTTTCAACGAGTATCCTTGTACACTAATCCTTAGGGTGGATTCTGAGCTTCTCCTGGGCCCACCACAAATTTTAAAGATGTCAGAATATCAAAATTAAAAAAAAAGAAAAAAGTGTGTTTGAATTAATAAAATACACTGTTTCTTTTGGGATGTAAGGATCATATTTTTAGCTGCTGGCTCCTTTCTCAAACAACACCAGAACTGGGACAGCGAAAGCGAGGGACTCACCTTGCTGTCATAATACTTCTCTCGCTTGTCAGTCTGGATGGAGCGGATGACATTGCCAGCATACTCAATCACCATCTCACCTGCGTCAATGTTTCTCTTACAGAAAAGACCCCGGCCGTGGATGGGAGACCTAGGACATAAAGATGCAAAAGAGATCGGCCACCAATTTCGCAAATCAGGTTAACTGTGTGAATACATGAATGAATGAATAAAACCTGCTCTGTCAGTTCCCCAAGAAGGACAGACCCTTGGAAAGAAAAAAAAGAATCTGGACCCACTTGATTTGAGTATATTACTTATTCTAACAAATGGCCAAGAATGAAAGATTTCTCCATTCGGGAGCCCAGCAGAGTAGCAATATTTTAATGTTTACTATGTTAAATTCCTTGTTCAACGCAAGGAGGGGCAGGTTCCGTTAATAACAGCTAGAAAAACCTCACTTACTGAATGAGGGAGGTCACTCCAGCATTTGGTCTGCTTTAATTTTGGAAAACGATTAGTTCTCTGTAATTCTCTCTGCAATGTTAGCCGTACCTGTAGACACCAACTGCCTCCTTAGAAGTCTTTTTTAAGTGCCGGAAACGCATGGGCATTGGCAGATCCATACTAGTTGCCCTCCTACAGAGATAAGGCATATTATTAATGAATTCTCTCCAGGAAGTAATCAGTTTTGAGTCTTGGGTTGAAGGTTTCTAGAGAATATGACCACATTATTCCCTTTGTTCAATGCCAAGCACGATAACAAGTGCCTTGTAAAATGAGGCCTATAATATACCCAATCCTTTCTGACCGTGGTAACTGTGGTGGTAGTGGTGTGTCCAGAGCGGACAGAGTTTACTTTGGTTAAAGAAAATAAAATATACATCTTACAGTTACCTGAATTTCTCCTCTCCTCTGCCCAACAGCTAGGGCTACTTTAATACAGACTACAGTTCAGTCTTAAATGTGATCCGGGCAATTCTGATCCAAGCAAAACCACACAGTGCCCTGCACAGCCAGAGTAGAGGGAAGCAAAGAGCGCTCCTGAAGACCCCCTCCACTCCAGACTTACCGAGCTGACTTCAGCTGTACCTCCTCCTCTTCCTCATCATTGGGGTTGTACTCAGGAGGCTGCCGGTGTTTGGAAGCCAGGAAGTTAAACATGTCAAATGCTGACTTCCTGGAGCCAAAAGATTAAAACACGCTTTAACAGAAATGCTTTGAACAGAAGCAGTGAAGGACAGCTTTGACACTGGAAATCTCAAAGGTGACGTGGGGAAAATGATTGTATCATCAGATAATAAAATTGGGACCCAAAGCTGCTTAGGAAAGAGAACGGAACTTGCCTCAGGTGAACTTCAGCCCTGGCTGAGCCATGAGGGTTCAGGGGGGGTTCGTTGGCTTCCTCTGGTTTGTGGAAACGGAATTTGTAATTCCTACAGTGCTTGGCACCAGAGAGCTGCTCAATCAGGAACACGACTGCATCGTGAAGAATCCCCAGCATCCTCAAACCGTTAACACCTGTGGACAGAAGGCACCAGGGAAGCGAGGGTGCAGCCAACAGGAAAGTGCCTGGTACTAAAGAAAGGCCTGAGCGAGAGAACTCTGCCAGAGGCTGCTCACGATGAACGACATTGAACACTAGCCAAGAATTAGCATTAGCGGGGGCACCTGGGTGGCTCAGTCGTTAAGCGTCTGCCTTCGGCTCAGGTCATGATCCCAGGGTCCTGGGATCGAGCCCCGCATCGGGCTTCCTGCTCAGCAGGAAGCCTGCTTCTCCCTCTCCCACTCCCCCTGCTTGTGTTCCCTCTCTCGCTATCTCTCTCTCTGTCAAATAAATAAATAAAATCTTTAAAAAAAATTAAAAAAAAAAAAAAAGAATTAGCATTAGCGAACCATTAAGATGACAGAGATGCAGGTCTATCAATACGGAAAATGTTCATGGTAGATTGAAAAAAAAAACAAAACACGTCACCAAACTATTTTCTATGTTCTGTATGTACACAGATAGGCTATACGTATTATTTCATTTCATGGTCACAATGCCCACATGAGGCAGGAATTACCAGCTTCATTTTCAGGTCAGTCAACCTAGGCTCAGAGAATTTGAATACCACACCCAAGGTCACACAACTGGTGTGACAAGATTTGAAGCCTGGGCTATGGAGCTCCAACCATGATCGCGTTTTCGTTTATAGGTTAATGGGGTATCTGGGCTCTGTAACTTCATACTCACATGGGTACCTCACTAAAATTTAAAAGAATGATTAGTAATAACCCCCCTAACACAGAACTCTCTTTTGTATTGTTATACTGAATGTCTGGAATAATACACTCGATAGATGCTTTGTTTTACTCAGTCTCATGCCATTAATGAGCATTTCTGATTTCTTTTTATTTTATAAAAATAAATGTATGTAAGTTGCTGGCATAGATGGGGAAAGGCTCTCTGAAATGACTGGTTTCTTTCACTAAAGGGATGGGGCATCCCAACAACTGCCACCCCACTTTGACACGAGAAATAGCAATGTTTGGGGCGCCTGGCTGGTTCAGTCGGTACAGCATGTGATTCTTTTTTAATTTTCTTCATCTTTTTTTTAAAGATTTAATTTATTTATTTGAGAGAGCGCATGAGCAAGGGGGAAAGGGAAGAGGCTGAGGGAGAGGCAGGCTCCCCGCTGAGCAGGGAGCCCGATGCGGGGCTCGATCCCAGGACCCTGAGATCATGACCTGAGCCGAAAGCAGACGCTTCACCGACTGAGCCACCCAGGCGCCCCTGTCAGGTTCATTTTTTAAAAAATTTTTTATTTGAGTATAGGTGACACAATAAGTTCATTATTTAATTAATCCTCACCACAAATTTTTGAGGTCACAGTTACATTCCTTTTTAGATAAGGAGATTGAGACTCAGAGAAGTCAATTAGCTTGTACTCAATGTAATATTGATCGCAAAGGGGCAGAAATGTAGTTTGTACTGTTTTTTTCTGCCTCCAGAGCTCATGGTTTCTTACCACCATTCCATGTGGCAGTAAAGGACATGGATAAATCAAAGGAATTTCTGTCCTGTTGGCAAAAACAAGGCGGGGGGGGGGGCGGCTACTCAGTGTGAGGCCGAGAACACATAGTTTAGGACACTGGCTTACCCCAGGGGCAGGATTTTACACATATTATCAATAATCAGTTCAAAGTGACTACTGGCAGAGGCCATGTGCAACTATCCTTTCTTGGGGTGCCTGAATGGCTCAGTTGGTTAAGCGTCCGACTCTTGATGTCGGCTCAGGTCATGATCTCAGGGTCGTGGTATCGAGCCCCACATCCGGCTCCATTCTCAGTGTGAAGTCCTCTTGGGATTCTCTCTCCCTCTCCCTCTACCCCTCCCTTCTCTCGTGTGCTCTCTCTCTCTGTCACATAAATAAATAAAATATTTTTTAAAAAACAGGGACGCCTGGGTGGCTCAGTCTGTTAAGCATCTGCCTTTGGTTCAGGTCATGATCCCAGGGACCCGGGATTGAGCCCCGCATCAGGCTCTCTGCTCAGTGGGGAGTCTGCTTCTCCCCCTGCTTGAACTCTTTCTCTCTGTCAAATAAATAAATACAATCTTAAAAAACAAAAACTAAATTATACTTTCTTGCCTCCTAAATATTTCCTTCACCAATCTAAAAAAAAAAAAAAGATACTATCCAAAGTTAAAAGGCAGCCCACAGAATGGGGAAAAACATTTGCAAATCATCTCTCTGATTAATATCCAGAATATATAGAGAGAACGCCTAAAACTCAACCATAACAACAACAAAGCCTGATTAAGAAACAAGCAAAGGCCTTGAATAGACATTTTTCCAAAAACGATCTACGAATGACCAGTGAGCACATGCAAAGATGCTCAATGTCATGAATCATTAGGGAAATGTAAATTGAAACTATAATGAGATACCGTCTCATACCCATTTGGAGGGCTTCTATCAAAAAAGCAGGGGAGGGATGCCTGGGTGGCTCAGTCGGTTAAGCATCTGCCTTCGGCTCAGGTCATGATCCCAGGGTCCTGGGATCGAGTCCTGCATCGGGCTCCCTGCTCTGCGGGGAGCCTCCTTCTCCCTCTGCCTCTGTCTCTCTCTCTGTCTCTCATGAATAAATAAATAAAATCTTAAAAAAAAAAAAAAAAAAGCAGGGGATGTGGAGACATTGGAACCCTTGGGCACTGCTAGTGGGGATGTAAAATGGTACAGCCACTGTGGAAACAGTACAGCAATTCCTCAAAAAATTAAAGATGGAATTACTATTTAAAAAAAAAAAGGAATTACTGCATGATCGAGCAATTCCACTTCTGGGTATCTGCCTCCCAGAAATGGAAAGTAGGGTCTTGAAGAGATATCTATACACTCACATTCACACAGGAGAATTATTCACAATAGCTAAAATGTGGAAGCAACCCAAGTACCCACTGATGGATCGATCAATAAGCAAACTGTGGCATATAAAAACAATGGGATATTATTCAGCCTTAAAAAGGAAGGAAATTTTGCAATATGCTACAACATGGATGAACCTCGAAGACATTATGCTAAGTGAGATGAGCCAGTCCCACTTACATAATTCCACTTACATGAGGTACTGAAAGTAATCAAAATCGTAAAGACAGAAAGAATAACGGTGGTTGCCAGGGTCTGGAGAGAATGGGGAATTTCAGTTTTACAAGAGAAAAAATGAGTTACGGGATGGATGGATGGTTGCTCAGCAATGTGAATGCATTTAACACCCCTGAACTGTACACTTAAAAATGGTTAGGATGGTAAATTTTATGTTATATATACATTTTACCTCAATAAAGAAATTCATCTGCTTAGAAAAAAAAGAAAAGAATAAAGTCCCAATGCAGTATTATAGCAGATAGGAAGCCTGAAAGCATTATGCTAAAGAATCCAGTCGCAAAAGGCCATACATCGCATGATTCCATATAAATCCCTAGAGACAGAAAGTTGTTTAATGGTGGCCAGGCACTGGGGCTGAGGAATGACTGCTAATGAGTATGGGGTTTCTTGGAGCGATGATGAAAATGTTCTGGAATTATACAATAGTGATGGTTGCACAACTCTGTCAGTAGACTAAAAACCACTGAACTATATGTTTCAAATGGGTTAACTGTATAAGAATTATATCTCAATGAAGTTGTGAAAAATTATTTTAAAAAAAGGTTGATGCTTTTGTAGAATCAACTCTATAGCTTTAGACCAGAATACTCTGAGACAGGAGTAAAATCACCCCTTGTCGTCGTTACCTGCAAACGAGAGCTGCTTTAGGCGGGCATTTGACCGAGCTTCCTGGACTTTATCTGTCAGTGACTTCCAGGCATCTGTGAGGAAATAAAATATTCCATCAATTATCTCTAACACCAGTGGCAAGCAAAAGCATTGAGCTTAGAATCCTTACAGGGTGAAAACACCCTGCTAAAATGGCTTTTTGTTGTTTTCTTAGTTTCGATGAGTTCCATGCATAAGAAAGCGGCCGAGAAGGTGCATTATCCAACAGTTAGACAGGTGGCTCACGCCTTCTGAAAATGACCCCTGAATCCCCAAAGCATTCACATCCTTTGATGGTAGTCTGGGTCCCAAACCTGAATGCTGGATATCACTTCTACTCCCTATGCTTCTAAACAAAACAATACTAGCGTTAACGATTTAACCCAGACTACGGGGAGACCTTAAACCTCTGTTCTGTAAAACTAAGGGGGTGTGACTAGAAAACCTCTACAATCCCTTCCAGCTCCAACTTAAGATTCTAGGATCTCCTACTGTCTGTTGGGCTCATTACCACCACTTCACACTCAGTGTGTTGTACGTGGAACTCATACACTCAACGTAGTCTTTCTGTTCTCCTTATGTATCTTTTTTTTTTTTTACGTATCTTTTTTTTTTAGTGATCCAGGCCTGAATCTTCAGAGTCACAATGGACTCCTCTCTCTACTCTCCATATTCAAGCAGTCCTGAAGAGTGTCTGTTCTTTCCTGCTGGGAACGGGCTTTATTACCTGACATCTCTGCTGTAGCGATGGCCTCATTAGTGAACTCTTGCCACCTCATGTCTCCAATTTAGTCCACCTTAAAGGGAGCTACCCCGTTAAGCTTCTTGAAATTCTGCTTTTATTCCATGTCCCCAGATTTTCAAAGGCCTCATGGTTTGGCACTGAAGGCCCTTCCAAAACCAGTGCCCAAACCACCTTCGCAGTTTTCTCTCTCACTAGTACCTGACTGGGATTTCAACATCCTCTCCCACCTGAGGGCACTCTAAACCCACCACGTGCAATCCTAACTTTGCTGATGTCCCTTTTTAGAAAGCCTTTCTCATTCCTCTTTTCCTAACCCAAATTCTATCATCTCCTTTAATGGACTCTTCTACCATTCTTCCTGGGTTCGACAACCCTAACTCAGTCCCAGGGATCTTTCCTTCAAATACCTTTATTACTCACTGCCTAGATAACATTTCACTAGTCCTTCGGTAGCTAATGAACACCTATATGCTTGGGATACAAAGAGGAGCGAGAAAATAAAATGCCAGCCTTTCCAGGAAGTTCCCTGTTGAGTAAGACGTAAAAAAGTAAACAGACTTTATAAAAACAAAATTTAAGCTATAAGAAAAGCATTTAAGATTCTAAAAGGAGCAGAAAGGAGGGAATGGGAGTGCTTATCTGCCTCAGAAGGTCAGGGAACACTTTCCAGGCTGAACCCTGAAGGACAAGGTAGAGTTCACCAGATAAGCCAGGGTAAAAGAACATTCTGGGCAGAGGGAAGAATTGGGTGAAGGCACAGGGGTGAGAGAGAATGGCATCTGAGGTACACAAAGAAGTGGTAGAAAACACGACTGGAGAGAGAAGACGTCTCACGTGCTCTGCTACGTTATGGACTATTACTCCAATAACACCAACTTCTTAAGGACGAGTTAGACGGATAATGGTGTCAAGTATCTTCCGTAGCACCAAGCACACGAACTGCCCACATCAGCAGTACTAACACAAGTCAGTGTGGAGCTGGCTGAGACAGAGCTTGCACTGGTGAGCCAACCACATTTTTTTTTTTTTTTAAGTAATCTCTACACTGAACGTGGGGCTTGAGCTCATGACCCTGAGACCCAGAGTCAGAAGCGCTACCGACTGAGCCAGCTGGGCGCCTCATTTAATCCACTCACCTTCAATACTTTCTGCACAGATCTGGAAGCCATCATCACTTGAAATTTCAAAAACAAGTCCTTTCTTGGGCTTTTTCTCAGCAATGCTTTCTTTCCTCTTCTGTTCTTGCTGGAGCCAAAGCATCAGTGGAGAGCTGAAATTACTTTCTTCTTCTTCCACTGTTTTAGGTTCTACGAGGGAGAAAATAGATAGGGGCCAAACTGAGCACTGATACATTATCTTCAAGCCTAGCAACATTCCACAGTTGGTAGGATTACTCCCATTTACAGATAACAAAACCAAGACTCAAAGATGTGGAGCAACTTGCCCTGGGTCATAGCTGGAAAGTGACTAAAACTAGGTTTGTTTGTTTTGTTTTACCTGAAGTCATGCTGTCTCTGTGGTAGTTTCTGGTATGAGAATTTGACAGTTTTTCAATAAGCAATTGCCCTCAATAAGGTCAAAGCTAAAAAATAATAATGATTAATATGAATGAAGCACTATACACGAGGCACTCTTCTAGGAACTTCCTGTAGATTAATTCAGATAAACCTCACAATGACCCAGGGAGGTGTTATTATTATGTACACTTCAAAGGCGAGAAACCTGAGACAGAGAGATGGTAAGTAACTAGCCCAAGTTCACATAATTAGTAAGTGGTAAGCTGAGATTTCAACCCATTTGGCTCCAGAGTCTGCCACCCCCTTGCTCTGCGTTCTGACAGAAAGAGGTGCCTCTGTCCTCTTGAGGAATGAGCCACCAACAGAATGTGATTACAGCCCAAATGTTATGCCTGAGCATTTTCTCTATCTTCCTCTCTTCTGGGAAGTTCCTTCGATGGAAATGGGCAAACCTTATATCCAGATCTCTTTAATCTTGAAGTGGCCAGTTCTTAATGATCAAATTCAGTAGTACAGATGGAAAGTGCTATGGAGATACATCTGCAGCTGTGACCAGATACATGGTTTTCTTCAGCGACAACTAAGGGATGGGGTCAGGTAGCCACTAGCTATGAAGACCACACTGTTGTTAAAGCAAGTAGAGCAGAACAATGGACAGATGTCCCAGACTCTATAGCGGAAGGGCACCGGACCAGGGAATAGATGCCCTGGTTAGTCTACACCTTTGGCCAATCACTTAACTTCTTCGGAGCTTAAACTTTTTAATTTAGAAAATTTGTAGATAATGCAGGCATTACTTTTGACTTCGAAGTTCTAATTCTAACCTGTTACCCACCCACATACCTGTACTTTCTTGCTCATTTGCTGGATTTTGTGTTGCCTGAATCTCAGGAAGAACTTGCCTAAATGAGAAGAAAACCCAGTGTGAGACGTAACAACAGCTACTCTTCAAAGATAAACACTGTCCACGCCGGCCATACCACTGTATCAATTACATAAAACTACTAGAAATGGACCACAGGATGTCTTGTATATAACCTGCTGGATAAACACCACCACACTACTGTATGGTACGTAACATAAAACTCTCTTCTATGAGATTCTTTCCTAAATATTGACATTAAGCTTGGGCTTTTGGAGTTTGTAGATTATGTCCTTGAAATTTTTCTCATACCCTCGGTATGAGAAAAAAATGAAAGGACACTTGTTAGAAGCAGTTTTGGAGTTACTTAAGTAAATTAACCGATTTAATTAAAAACAAAAGCAAGCTGCAGGAGCCAGTAAACCACAACCAATTTTCATTTTTGAAAATTAAATATATCTTGGCAACAACCCAAATGCATTATCAATAAGGGGCTGTTTAAATAAGTTAAAAAAAAAATCAAGTACAGAACAGTAATGATAGCATTATTCATTTTATGTAAAAAGGGTATATATATATTCATATACACACTGTGTATCTGTATTTGTATAGAAACGTGTACATGGATGAAAACACATTATTAGTGATGGTTATTACTAGGGAACAGAAGGGAGGAGGGTAGGCAGGACGAACATGGAACCACTTATCTATTATTTAAGTAATTATGCATTAAAAAAATTGTAAGTATGTATTACTTCCATTAAAAAAAAAAAACTTTGGTACCAAGAACAATACAAATGAGGAAGAATTATTTTTTAAATGAGGTGGACAAAACGGAGGGCTTAACCTTAGACAAACGATCTTCGTATTTACCCTGTGGGCTGCCCACACTCCTTTGACTGTTCCACATTAGCTGTGTCCTGCTGCTCAGCCTCTGCTCCTGGAGTCCTGGAACAGAATCATTGGATCTTTTCAAGAAAAACCACCAGTAAATATGTACTGAATGTGGAGGTCAGTCTAAAGAAATGACTCTATCAGGATCTGATAAAATTTATGAGCTGGGAAAACTAATCTGTGCTTCTAACAAGTTAGCCAGTGGTTACCTTGAAGACATTCTGACTAAGAGAAGGCACGAGGAGCCTTCTGGAACACTAGGAATGTTTTATATCTTGATCAGAATGGTGGCTACATGGGTGCATACATATGTAAAATTTCACCTGTGTACTCAATGCACGTTACACCCCATGCTTTCAAAAAGGACTTCATGAGGATCTACAACAGGTGGCTTTGCCCACCAGACAGGAATAATCATCATCCCTCAGTATCCTAAGACTCAGCAAAAAAATCCCAAAACAACAACAACAACAAAACCCAAAAGCAACAAACCCAAGAGCAAACAGCAGCATTGTTTTAAATCAGAGCAAAGGGGGGCCTGGGTGGCTCAGTCGGTTAAGGGTCCGACTCTTGATTTCGGCTCAGGTTATGATCAAGGGTTCTGAGATTGAGCACCGCATTGGGCTCCGTTCTGGGCATGGAGCCTGCTTGGGATTCTCTCTCTCCCTCTGCCCGTCCCCACCCTCCATAAAAAACAACAAAAAACCCCCACAACCCCTCCTCCCAAAAAAAACCCAAAGACAGGGGCGCCTGGGTGGCTCAGTTGTTAAGCATCTGCCTTCGGTTCAGGTCATGATCCCAGGGTCCTGGGATCGAGCCCCACATCGGACTCCCTGCTCAGCAGGAAGCCTGCTTCTCTCTCTCTCACGCTCCCTGCTTGTGTTCCCTCTCTCACTGTGTCTCTTTCTGTCAAATAAATAAATAAAATCTTAAAAAAAAAAAACAAAAAAAACCCCCAAAAACAAAGCGTAATTAGAGATGTGGTTCTATCCAAGAGACAAACTGTCCACGGATGGCACTAAATTTTGCTCTATAAATCACCACTGTGAGGGGGAAAAAAAAAAAAAAGTCAAAACCCAGAACAGCCCCGAGTAATGCAATGTGGAGAGAAGAGTGTCCTTCCCAGGAAAACTGCCACTTCAACAGCCTCTCACCCAGAGCAAAAACAATCCCACCTACCCAGAGTAGCTAATATTTCGATCTCTCACCCTGTGACTGAGGTCAGGGATGTCGTGCTGGCTTCTTGGTCTGGAATGTGTGCTTCAGAAGAACTGGTCCGCAAATGGGAAACTTTGTGCTTCTTGCCATTCCCTTTGTCCAAAGGCAGCTGAAACCGTTTGATTTTTGGTTTGGGTTTAGTGGGAGCCGGTACCGTGGGGCTTGCTGAGGGCTGTCCAGAGGATGGAGAGCCCCCGGGAGAGGCCGGGCTGGCTTGCATAGCTGAGGATAAAGCCTTATTCTGCTCTAGCCCCATGCTATTAGGAGCATCTCCTGTCTGGGTGAAGTTGGATCCCTGGGTCCCTGCAGCAGAATCAAGTTCGCGCTGGGACGGGAGAATCCCAGTTTTGCTGGCAAGGAGCTGGTTCACGCGCTGAAGCTGATAGTGTTCTTCCGCGTCCCCAGAAGGAGAGGCGGCTGCGACGCCCGCGGTCTGAGCAGAGGGGAGCACGCAGATGCTAGACGCCGCTGCCCCCAGTTGTGGAAACATTCCCGCACTGGGCGGTAGAGCCACGGGCTGGTCCTGCATCCCCAGGCTCTGCTGGCTAGCTTTGATTAAAAGGTTGCTGATTGAGCCAATATCCGGGGCACTGAGCAACCTGGGGTTGGTTAACGCAACATGTCCCGGAACGGATGTGCCACTTGCAGGGGCGGTTGTGGTCTGCATGGACACCACATTCAAGACGGAGGCACCGGACGCCAGGCCGGACCCAGGCCCCGCGGTGAGGTGGCCAGTATCCTGGCTTACGGTGGACGCGCCCGCCGCCGCGGACGCTGTGCCGCCCACACTCTGGGGTAACAGGGGTGCCTGTTCAAAATACATGATGCCAGATTTAGACCTTTTTATGATGTTGGGGACAGTTCGGTGAGATGACGTGTTAAGTGACCCCAGATCTAACAGATTGGGATGGTTTGGCAGCTGGGAGGGTGTGAAGTTAATCAGGGTCATGTTAGAGACCACATCGGAAGGGGCAATGGTTGAAGGGGTGCTAGAGGGAGCGAGTTTTTTATTCTTTCGGGTCTGTAGACGAGATATGGGTCTTTTCTTGAGTGCAGAGGGTGGAGTGGCTACTGTGGTACTGAGGTCTGTCCTCTGGCTGGCTTCTGAAACCAAAAGTTGGGGATCTGGAGGAGGCTGAACCCCAATAAGTAGGCCTGAAGGAGGACTGCTGATGTTAGGTGGGAAACTACTTTGAGCAGCTGCAGGGAAGGAATGTAAGTGCTGGTGATGAGGCATGGGGAGCAATCCTTTGCTAGCAGGAGGGAACAGAGATGGAGACGTTGGCAAGCTTGGATTTAGTCCCGTGGCTAGGGTGAGACCACTTCCCATGGGCCCCAATACTGAAGTATTTGTCTCCATCACATTGGGTGTAGAACTAACAGAAGAGGTCAATTGGATTTTTTGGGTCACTCCATTTGGAAGAGTTTGGAGAACATAAAGTGGCTGCATGTTCTGGTTAACCACAATGAGTTTCTCAGTGGCTGGTTTCAGGTGGGGTGGAGTGGTCTGGACAGCTGCATTAGAAATCTGAGATGGGCCAGGACTCTCAGTAGAATTGGGCACATATTTCTGGTTCTGGATAGGAACAGTAGGGGAAACAGGTACCTGCAGGCCGGGGGTGCTACTGTTTCTAGTTAAATCCTGATTGTTGCCATGCCCTTGCTCCACCGAACCACAAGGAGGGCTGGAGATGTGGTCTGCGTCCATGTGTCCTTGAATAAAATGATCTGGAGTCATGTGGCCTTCGGGGGTGGGATCCACTCCTGGACTCAGCAGTGCCGAGTCGCCTTCAGAGGAGGCCACAGACTTCTCGGTGATGGTCACTCTCTTCTCTCCTGAGTCAGAGATTACAGCCAGTCTACTGGCATTCTGGCTAGGGACAGTGGGACTCCGCGTGGTCAGGACAGACAGGTCGGACGGTAGCTCCAGAGGCAGCTCAAACTGCTCCTCTGCCGAGATAGAGGAGGAGACGCTACTGTCCACGGGTTCCGCCGTCGGCAACTGCTGAGAAAAGACCTCGAAAAGACCCATGTCCTTTTCCCGATTACTGTCGAGACCCAAACCTTCACCCAGATTCAGCAGTTCCGACGAAGAGGACTCCGGGCTCTCGCCCAAAGCCTGCATGGAAGGAGTATTCTTCAGTACAAAGTCCATAATGTCCGAGGGCAGGATATTCCCACAGTCGTCACTGTTGTTGTTATCCGAGTCCGACTTGAGGAGCTCGGTATTGTAGGTGTCCAGGAGGTTCTTGTCCGACGGGGTGCTCGTGTGGACCCGGCGGCTGGACTCCAATGAGCTGAGCTGCGCCTCCAAGGAGTCCTGTCCCTGTGTTTTCACTCTGCTTACGGAGTGGCAGTTATCCATCTTTGGCTCGTTTTTGTGGCCAACGGAACTCTTAATGACATGTTCTTTCTCCCCGGCATCTTCGGGTCGCTCGATCTTTAAGTTCTCTGTTCCGTTTTCTTTCCCGTTTCTTTTTGGAATCTGGCTGCTCTTCCTCGTGGTGGCGGTGACGCTAGTATCGCTCTCTGTGCCATCATCGACACCATCCAGCTGTGAGATTTTGGGAAGGTCACACTGCTCCTCCTCCCGAAATAAATTATGGGATGCCAGCCGCTCGTCTCCGCCTGAGGAAATCACTGTTCTGGTGAAATTATAATAGTACAGGTCATCTTCATCGGAGGTGCTCAGGTCGTCGGCCCCATCCACCTGTCCTTCAGCTGATCTCTTGCCCCGTTTCTTGCCTGTGGAGCTGCTGTAGAATGGAATGTCTTCTTCGCCGTAGGATCTCACTCCGTAGAGCGGGGTGAGCCCGAAGAACATGTTCGAGCGCGCCCGGGCACTGCGACGGGGATATCTCCTCTTGAAAGAGCCATCCTCCTGAGGTTTGGGACCATCTGGAAGCATCAGGTTTCTGTCCTGTACCGGAAGATTCTGATAGTTGTTACTCTGAGGATCCTGGGATGAGGTATCATTGGGGCTTGGCTGGGCCACGGGACCATCTCCTGGACTTTCGGAGGCTGCAACTGGTTCTGTGGGAGGAGATGCGGACTCTATTTGCAAAGGGGAAACGGGGCTACCTTCTTTCAGGGGATTCTTGGACTGGCCCTCACTTTCCATTTTGAGGGGTGTCAGTGTTACTTTGACCGTGCGTTTCCGGGGTGTCTGTAATTCCTTGGCAGATCCTTCTACTTGCATGGATGGAGCTTTGGGGACTCCCGGAATAGAGAGGACTTTGTCTCCAATCTTATCAGAAGAGACATTATTACATGGTCGTTGCCCCATAAACTCAGGAGTCAAAACCTCGTCCACAAACTCCGGCTTTAGGTTTCCTTCCTCACCAGTTGACACCTGACCAGGTTCCAAAAAAGATTTACTGGAATGTTTTTCTTTGAAAGTTTCTTTACAAGACTTTTTCCCTTTCTGTCTCCGGTCTCTGGAACTAGATCCCACGTGTTCATTGATGATGGATGATCTGTTGCTCACTCCAGATAGCTTCAAGGTTCTGACTCCCGCGTCTTCATCGGGAGGGGGGTTTACCGATTGGTTAGAATCTGTGTGTTGGTCCCGATCATTCCTCTGCCCTCTCAGATGGAGTGGGGGGAAGGAGAGGGCCTCTTTAGAAGAAAACGGCCCTGAAGAGAGTTCAGCGAAAGTACCGATCTTGCTAGCATTTAATTCTCCAGGTGTTGTGTTATGAACCTGAGCAGCCAGTTTGGGAATGCCAGGATAAGCCACGGTATGTGCAGACCCTTCCGAACTCTTGGAACTTGGCACTTTGGTCTTCTCTCCCTTCAAAGAGGAGCCCTTGGATGCCAAGTCTGAAGCGCTGGAATGCTTCATTTCGGAAGAGGAAGACCCATCCAAGTGGCTGGTTTTAGTGCCCATAGTAACCACTGTCCTTTGCGAATTTGAAGAGGTGGAAGTGTTTTGCCCTAAATTAGTATTTGAATTCAGTGGTCCTAAGACATGATCAACTGCTTTGGCACTTGACTCAAGATCTGTGGCAGTCCCGATGGTAGAGACTGAGGAAACACTATTCCTGGAGTAAGTACCCCCAGTTCTCATTGGAGACATGATCCGGAGTTTAGACCGCTGGGGTGACAAGGAAGAAGTGCTGTGACGCCGGGAGCCAATGCTTCGGAGTCCAGAGGAGAGTAAAGGGTCACCCACCGTGACTATTTCATGAGTGGTTGGGGTAGGACTTCCTGAACAAGAGAGAAAAAGTAATAAAGTCTATTACAGAGAGAACGAATGTGTGGTGGCCATTGCTTTCAATGACTTGGCAATGGCTTATAACTGAAAACTGCAAATCAAGACTCAATGAGCAAAAGCCACTAAGATAGAATGGCCTGAAAGAATCACAAGCTCATCTCTGAGCTGACCTTTTTGGGTCAAGTTAGTCAATGAGGTAGGTCCTTTACCTGCAGAAGGCAACGGCCGACAGCCAGGGGATCTCTGTGTTGGAGAATAACTAGGTGTGCGAATCCTAGGGACCTTTGAGATGACGTGATAAAAACAGGAGCCAGAGGTTTGCGAATGAGGTCGGTCTGGTGAGGGAGGACTTACAATTTCAGCTGTGTTTTGACTTTCTTTAGATGCAATTTCTGTGGTAGGGAAGAAAAACTCTTACTTTTAAAAAAGGTCCAATTAAAATATCAAACAAATGAACCAACACAAAGCAAGCTATTAGGTAAAGATCAAAATAGAAACAAATGAGACCTCCCAGAGAGACGACTTTCCCCACCTTCAATCACAGTACTCCCCCAATCTAATTCGAGTCCCACCTTGATTACAGACTCACCTGCAAAAGATGTGGGACTGTGAGCGATGGTCCTATTTTCATCGTGCTCGACAGTGCTGTTGATATCCGGCTCTACAACTGGAGGACGGCATTCTACGATCTTGCACGTATACACACAGCGCTTGCGAGCGTCCGTGGTGCTCCAGTAAACCCTGGAACACCTGGGGAACAGATCCACACAAATCCCCATGGGTGAGAGTACAGAAGTGGAGACGAACATTTGTCAAAGCGTCTTCTCATCCTAGCTTCCCTGCTCTCCTTGATTTACAGAATTTAGCTTGACTTCACGGATTCTTATTATAGATCCCCCTGGCTAGGGTGTTCCAGGCTTTTTGAAGTTCTTGGTTTTTCCTAGCCTCTTAGAAAATAGCATCAAATCTTTTTTTATTGTAGTGTAAGCAGGAGACAAAAATAGTAAAATATCCTAAAATGCAGAGAAAGGAAAATACTAACATCTACTACAAGAAATAGTTATTGGCCTTCAGGAAGGGACGCCTGTCCCCCCCAAGGTGTACACAGTGAGGAAAGAGCAAACCTGAAGTGTCCCCTGTGGGAGAAAAGCCCCATTAAGACAAGGGAAGTGTAACTGCTTCAAATCTGCTGGATGCTGATGGAGCCTGGCTTATACAAAGAGCTGCCAGCTAAATGTACAGACTGTTGCCAGAATTGGAATGCAGAATAAACTGGAGTACAGACGGCAAAATGAGACTCCAAAATGGGAGAGACCGAAAGGGAGTTTTAAATTTATACTGTCAGCATGCTAGAAGTTTAAGCCATTGGCTTCACATAGGAAAGAGGATAAATGTTCACTGGACAATATGATTATTATTGTGGGGGGTTATATTTTTAGATTGAGGACAGGGGCATGAGGTATTTGATCCACTACAATAATCTGGACTTTTGAATGCAGATAGATGGAACTCAGAGGAATCTTAAGAGACTGACCTTGTGTTTTTTTGTTTGTTTTGTTTTTTTTAAATTTAGGTTTTATTTGGAAATGATTCTGAAAGTATGCCAATACTACTTTCCTTCTGTAACTGGATTTAGTGGACATAAAAGGATACTTCAGTCCTAATCTACAAAAAGTAGCAACAAAAGTAGTTAATTTTCGGTAGCAATTAAAAGCAGCTAACAAGTATGGCTCTCCATTCAAAGACTTGCTCATTGCTCAGGGTGCTCAAGCTGTGGGGGCTGGAGTCTTAGCTCTACAGAGCTACTTACTGATATCCAATAGGAAAAAGCTTATCTTCACAGTCGGAGAGATCATTCAGAATTCCTAAGCAGTCAATCGTCATGGAGCCTGACCAAGGAAAGAAGAACTGATTAGAGAAGGTAGGGAGAAGGCTCACTTTATACCCAAAGACCAGCAAGTCCCCCAGCGATACATTGAGCCTTCCCCCACAATAGAAGCCCATGTCATACCAATCATCATGTGGATATTTTCTGGTTCCAAGCCATTGAGAAACTTTCTTCTCAAGCTGATTCCTTCAAAGTCCACAAACACTCTTCTAAAAACTTCAAATCCATTCTCAGGAACCACCTGAAACGAAAACCCGGCTGTTAACAACAGGCTGTCCCTTTACACATTGTACGCATGATACTGACTCTCTCGGAGGTCAAGTACAGAGCGTATCTCAGAATCACCCTGCTGTTTCACAGGAGGACCGCTGTGTTTCTAAGAAGGTGATTCTAGGAACACACAGTAGGAAGGTAAAACAAAGCTTACCATCTTGCTGTTTCAGCCTATCTTCCCTGTAGTCCTATAGAATTCGGAAAAGCAACGGAAGCTCTCACCTCGCCTTTGATCAGATCCCGATGGCGTTGGCAATACACTTTCTTATCATCCAGAAAGACACAGTTCTTGGCGCGAGAACACATGAAGTGATAGTTGCTGGTGCAGGAGGTAAGGCAGCAGCCCACAGTGGCTCCTGGCTTTTGGCAGAACTCACATCTCTAACCATCCAGAGAGAACAGAGGCCTAAGTCAGACTTTCAGATGTTTTAAGCCATTTTTCTTCTCTACAGAATTACCCCATTCTGGGTTTCCTACAAGGCCTTTTTTTTAATTGGTAATCAGCTGAATTACAGAGAAATGATATGAACCCTAAAGCCTCCTCTCCAGGTCCTCTCTCTCCCACTGTCCCTGGGGCCTTGTAACTATTAAACGTAAATATTACACTTTGATTTAGAACTTAAACCAAAACACAGTTTTGTTCCTAGGATGCACGATTGATTTAGAGAAGATAAAACTTCGAATACTGATACTAAAAACATCATCTTACTAGAAAGCTACCATATCCAAAAGAACTCAGTTCTAGAAAGATTATACCCATCAGAAACACAAGGGTTCTCTAGTTACTAGACTTAACAGATTAAATTTATCGTATGATTCAAAGATTTCCTTCAACTAGCCTGTATGTCACCACTTTATTCTATCGAGGTCACAGTCTGGGCTCCTCTTTCCACAGAAGACTTTTTGTTTGTGCTCTCCCCACAAATTACATGGGCTTTTTGTTTGTTTGTTTCTCTCTTGCTCGCTTTCTTTCTGATAATCCTTCATCTTCTCCCTTCCTTTCAATATAGCTTTTAAAATTTTACTCCTCCGTGGCCTTTTCTGACTACTCTCAGCTTCTACTGATCATTTCCCACATCCCCTCTTCGTGTGTATATTTATGTGGGTTTTTCCTATGGAATCAGAGTGGTGATTCAACTGGGACCTCTGAGATCATTTTGTCTAAATCACTTAATTAATTAACACCTTTCTTGCACATTCAGATCATCTCCCAAACTAGATAATACTTTGTCCTCTATTTCCTTTGAACCATCCCCCAGGGGTCAGAGTAGCAACCTGCCTACAGTACACACCAGTACCTGTTGCTGGCTACCCATCCTGAAGGCACTGTGAAAACCTCAATGAAGTAGCATGAAGCCAGAGAGAACATCTGGAAACTGAGGGGAAATCTTTTCCATAACATTTACACAGGGTCTTACCAGCTGCTTGCCCCTGATCACAGCCATGTGCACATTCTTTAGTGATCCATCATCATCTTCAAACACTTCTGCTGACCACAAAGCGCAATTTACATGTGTCCACTCATTTTGGCCAATGTAAAGCAAACGGCCAGCATCCTAAGAAATCAAGAGATTTCTTTTTTCTTTAAAGAATATAATGTCAAAGAAGGTTTTCCTTGGTATTAGCTTTACCTCAGTCAAGATAACATCAATAATAATTCTTTAACTTGGGAATGCAAACAAAAATCAACACTCATTTCTCAATGTTCCTGTTTCCACTTCTCACCTTTCTAGAATCCACAGACGGGAAATATTTTATAAACACAGGGAATCAAAACATAAGCAGTATGTGGTAAGTTTATAAAAGTGTACATGGACTTCTTTACAACCATATTTCAAAGCCAGTTCTCTCAGCTTGCATTACAAAACCTTTTTTTACTGTAAGCTTACTTTGTGCCCAGCACTAAATAAAGCTTTATAAACATTATTTCCTTTAATCCTCATAACCGTTCTGAGGTTAAGTATTATTATTATCCTCATTTTAAAGATGAAACTGGGGCGCCTGGGTGGCTCAGTCGGTTGAGCGACTGCCTTCGGCTCAGGTCATGATCCCAGGGTCCTGGGATCGAGTCCCACATGGGGCTCCCTGCTCTGCGGGGAGCCTGCTTCTCCCTCTC